GGGCCAGTGAAGCAACGTGCTCCACAACCAGACTGAAGAACAAAAAGGACAGCAACTTGTCTGTTCCCTTTCCCCGATTCCCCAATGCTGTTCCCCTCCCCCAATTCCCCAATACAATCTTTAAAAAAAAATTTTTAATAAAATTAAAAGTGATAGATCTGATTTTAAGAAAAAAACTAATTACATTGTGTTTCCACATTCACCAGAGACAGATGAGAACTTTGTCAAACATCTTAGACTCAGCAGATCTGGACACTTAAAAGGGATGTTAGTTACTTTTTCCACTCAACGAAGTACCAAGTAGTTCAGATAAAGCAATATTCATCTGAAATTAATACTCGTAGGCCTCAAAATGCAAGAACCAAAGGAAAACAAAGGATAAAATATTAAATACACTTGCAATTCAAAATAGAAAATTAACTTGCTTCTTAAAAACAAAATAAAACCAAACAAATAATTGCCCAAACCAACCCAGTTTGAAGACCCAGCTTTGAGACTCACTAGTCTGAACAGAATGACATTTGGCATTTGAATTCCAGTTCTGTCCAGCACTAAGTTGGTGATTTTGAGCATGTGGCTTAACCTAAACTTCAGTTTCTTTATCAGTATATTGAGAAAATAAATGGGGAGGTTTAAATGAGATCATGGCAAGCAGTGCTACTCAAAATATGGTCTGTGGACAATTGGCTGGTTCACACGCATCAAGATAAGTACAGAAACAAAGGATATGCTTTTAGAACATCTCACAGCAATTTAACAGAATTAGTGTTTGTTGAATCTAATAACAAAGCCTATATTCTGTATGTTTTTTTCATACAGAAAACTAGAAAAGTTATTTTTCTAGTACTTTAATTTTTCTAGTAATGTGCAGGTACAGTGGTGGTACTGAAAAAAATTTAGTCGCAGAAATAAAATGCACATAATATAGAAAAAAACAATGTAAAAGACAGTACATGCTCTAAGTAAGCGATATTGAAAAAATAATAATCTGAAAAACTAGGGCTCTTTTCAGGATATAGTGGCCAAGGAGGAAGTGTGATTAGAACTGGACCTTCTGAAGGCTACAGGCTTCAGGCAGCTGGGTGGAGGAGGGGCATTTAGGCAGAGACCTGCCAGAGCAAAAGCAGAGCCACTACAAACAAATGAGTCTAACAGGAAAGCAACAGAAAGCAGATTCTGAACTGGCTTTATGGGAAAACCTTATCTCTGTCTATCAATTCAAGGATGTAGAACATAAACCAGGGAGCCATTGAAGATTTCTCAGATGAAGAACAAAATGATCAAACTGGGGGCCCCACAAAGCAAGATCACATCTACTACTCTAGCACTCCCGTAGCATTACATATCCCTCTCTGTGTGGTCTCAATCTTTTTTCTTTTCACTGCACTCACCCTGCAAGATTCCAACCTCAGACCAATGCCACCATCTGCTTTCTAGACTCTGGGACTTAAATCCTGACTCAGACACGCTGGAGAAAACCAAGCAATCCTGCATAGCGATGTACAACTAACGTGTAGTTTCCAACCTGAGCAGGACCCTCAGCCTGGCTCAGCAAATCTTTTTAGTGTTCCTCCCCTCCCTTTTCCCCAAGGAACAGCTATTTCTAACTTTCGCAGTTCTCCTAAAGCCCCTTGACTCCAATACTTCCCACACCTCACATGGTTTCTCTGCCCCTTCCTCTTAGAAACTGGTCACCAAATATGACCTCTCTCAACTCTCTTCACCCAAGCCTAAAAACACACATATTTCAAATGCCCACCCTGACTTCTTTGCTTCTAATCTAAATCTTCCATTTCTGACTGATCGATCCCTTTCTGTCCCTTAGTACAGGTTGTTCCTCATCTCTCATTTGCTTCCAATCTTCTTTTTATACTGGTCCCATTCCCACATGAGTTGCTCAAATCTCTTCCATCTTAGGGAAGAAAAACCTAACATAAAACAAAACCCTTCCTTGATCCCATACTGGCTGCTCCTTTTCTCCTCCTAAGTGCTGATATTCCAGAGGCCTGTGCCTTTAGTTCTTTTCCTCTCACTCTACACAGCCTCCTTTGGCAACTCATCTACTCCCACATCTTCAACTACCATCTGTGAGCCATTAGCCAGCCAATCTGTTCTCTTGTCCCTCTGATCTCACATGGTGCCAATCTCGTGTTACACTAATGAACAGCATATGTCTCACAGAATATCTTTAAAAAAAAATTTTTTTTTAGCTGAGCTATCCTGCCACCTCTTGGCAGCTCAGCTCAGGCCGGGAATCGAACCAGCAACCCTGTTGCTCAGAGCTCGCACTCTTGACAGAATACCTTTATGTCTCATTGATATTTCACACTTAACATGTCCAAAACTGAACATCTCCCTCCCAAGTTTGTCTCCACTTCTGTTTTGGACCTCTTAGGGACTGACACTATCTACTCAGTTATTCACAGAAGAATCCAATGAGTTATCCTAGCTAACTTCAGGTCATTGACCCAGGCTAATTCTACTTCCTTAAACTCGCCTATCCTGCTAGTCCAGTGGTTCTCAACCTGTGGGTCGTGACCCCTTTGGGAGTTGAATGACCCTTTCACAGGGGTCGCCTAAGACTATCGGGAAAACAAAAAGATATTTACATTACGATTCATAACAGTAGCAAAATTACAGTTATAGAGTAGCAACGAAAACAATTTTATGGTTGGGGGTCACAACATGAGGAACTGTATTAAGGGGTCGCGGCATCAGGAAGGTTAAGAACTGCTGTGCTAGTCCATCCCCACTGCTATTGCCTTAGTTTTCAGGTCCTGAGTATCTCCTGCTTAGATTACAGCAACTGCTTTCCCTGCCTCCAGCCTTGTTCTCTTAAATCTGTCCATAATATGGTTACCAGATTTGGCCATACAACCACCCTGCCTAAATCCCTTCACTTGATACGTAAGAAATTTCATAGTAATTGTCTCTGAAGAAAACTAGGGGGGGTCTAGGGTAGGAGAATATTTATCTTCCACTTTAGTACTATTCGAATTGTTTATCATTAGCATGCACTATTATACAAAACTTAAATTTCAGTGGCCCCCAATGCCTACAATACAAAGTCCTTTATGATCTGCCTGCTTTTAAGCTTCTATCTCAAGATAGCCCTCTGTCTGGAATGCCCTTCTATCACCCATCTAGTCTAGCCACTCATCTTTTCAGACTCTGCCCAAATGGCATTTTCTCCTGATTTTTCCATACATAAGCGACCACTTTCCCGTGTGTCTACTTTGTGCAGTAAACAGATTTCCATTTACAGCTCATGTTGCATCTAATACTTAAACAGATTGTTTAAAATGTCTGTCACCCGGGCCTGCCGAGTGGCAGGTTGGTTAAGAGCTGGCTTGGGACACCAGAGGGCCCCAGTTCAGATCCCACATATGAGGGCCAGTGACACTGACTGCCCTCTACAGCTAAGACACTGAACAACAGCTCAACTTGGAGCTGGGCTGCCGTGAGTCCTCGGCAAGGCGTAGGCTGCAGCCCCTGCTGCAGTGGGTTGCCATGGGCTGCCATGTGTAGCCAGCAGCCAGCGTGAGCGGCCAGCAGCCGCCATGAGTGGCTCTCCAGAAGCCGGCAACTGATCTGCCTTGCCTGGGAAGAGCGCAATGATGGTGCCAACTTGGGCCAGTGAAGCAACGTTCTCCACAACTAGACTGAAGAACAAAACGACAGCAACTTGTCTGTTCCCCTTCCCCCAATTCCCCAGCGCTATTCCCATACCCCAATTCCCCAATTAAAAAAAAAAAAGTCTGTCACCCTCCATTAATTAGCCTTAGATTCCCTGAGGGCAGAAATTGTTTCTTATTCATCTTGGAATTTTCAGTCTAGTTACTGAATAAAAATTTATAGGGGATGGGGGATAATAGTGTTATGAAAATGCATGTCAGGTGATTCTAACTCAATCCCCCGTTAACAAACTGCACTAAAACATAAACTTCTTGAAATCAGGAATCAGTGTGATCAGCATGTGAGTTCCTTAAGGGCAGGGAATCTGTCCTATTCATCTCTGAGCACAGTGCATGGTACATGTTAGGAGCTCTGGAACCTTTTACTGAGTTGTACCAATGCCGCTGATAATGGAAGACACGGTACTTTACGAACACAAAAAAGAAGTGGCTACTTTGGCCTAAGAGGGCTGGAAATACAGGTTTTCAGAGGGACAGCTGAGCTCAGTCCTGAAAGAGTTCATTTGGCAGAGAAGTGGCCAGAACTTCAAGTAGAAGAAACAGCAGGAGCATAGGGATGGAGGCATTAAGAGCACAATGCAGATATACCCTTTCCATGTAGCTGGGAGTTAAGTGAACGAGATAGGAAAAATGCTAGGGAGCTTTAAGAAATGAGTCTTCATTTAGAAAAGAAAAAGGACCAGAACCAGACTGTGAAAGGCCATGGACGCCCACCTACGGATTTAAGCCTGACTGTAGGTGGCCCAAACGGAGTTTTAAATTTAATCTGAAACGACCAGATTGACTTTTAATAAAGGTAACTCAGGGCAGTATGAAGAGCAGAGGAAAGAACTGAGATTCAAGGGAAGGAGCTTAATTAGAGGCTGATGGTCCAGCTAACAAGCCATGATGAGGCTGTATCTTCCTTAAGTCTTACACGCGAGGAAAAGAAATGCGAAATCCATTCCATAAAAACCCAAGATTTAAGCCAAACGGCCTGTAAATTCCGACTCCTGCTGACCACCAAAGCTGCACACCTGTTTTTTCGGGTCTGAACTGGATGGGGCGTTCCAAAGTGAAAATTTGGAACGCCCAGGAATCTTCTGTTTTACCTTAGGGGTCCCAAGCCCCTTCCCATCACAGCCCCACCCCACGCGAGGACCAAGATGCGCAGAGCGACGCGGGGAGAATGAGGGAGTAACCCGGTCAAGCGCGGAGCGCCACGGCATCCACTTAGGGCGCAGGGTAGGGGATTGCGCGTGCGCACTTCAAGCGGGCGCCCCGCCCCCTGCCCTTAAACTGGTGGCGGGAAAAGGGACTCAGCACCTCCCAAGTGCTTCTCAGGGATGCAGCTTCTCAGGAACGCAGTCCGCTTAGAGCCCTCTGATTCACACACTCACTCATACGCTCCCAGCCGTCCTCAGGATCCCCAGGCAGCCAGCGGCCCTCAAGCTCGCGGCCGCAGCCTTTCCCGCCACCAAGCTCGGAGGAACCGGTCTCCGCCTGCGTGCGGAGCGGGGCGGGGCGAGGCGAACCGGGCGGGGCGAGCCGGGCTGGTCCATTTGACCTCGTGCCGGCAGGGGGTTTGGCGATAAAGTAAAGAAAAGGGAAACGAGTACAATTAGTACTGTTTTATCTGACTCAATCCCCTACATTGAGCCAAAATTCACAACGCAATGAATTTTTTTCTGACTTAAGATAATAGGATTCAAAGTCCGAATAAAAGTGAATTTACAAACATTCTTCCCCTTCTACTCAAGTGGGTTATTCCAAAGTCTTACGTGGTTAGTTAGAAAAGTTGGGCTTTATTTGGGAGGAAGTGCCGAATTGAGCTACGCGGAAGAATGAATCGTGTTTTGCGGAGCGTGGGTGTCTGTCATGCTAGAGGTACAGGTTTAAAGCCTGCAAAGTATATAGGAGGCTCCTAAAAGAGAAGAGATCAACAATAAATATTCATAGTCAGTTGAGGGTCTCCTCTGGCCTCTGCTGAGTATATTTTGCCAACAAAAGAAGATAAGGTTCAATCGAATAATTATCTCCCGAATTATTAAGCATTTGAATAGAAGGAATCAATTTCTGGGCTATGAGAAGTTACTAGAGATTTGCTGAAGATGAAAGGACAGTTGAGAGAAAAGTGAAAAGACAAACAAAAGGAAAATAAAGAAGACTATAAAACTAGTGATAAAAGTAGAAAGATGCCATTTGAAGAGTGCTTTGATCTGTAATAACTAAATTAAAACTGAGAGTCAAGGCCTTTACCTCCTACAGCTCCCCCACCCCACCCCACCCCACCCCTACCTTTGCTCCAGGCGTCAGATTTCCTGTTTTTGCCTTGGAGCTTTTCTGGGGCTTAAGTACTATCTGCCTAGAGGCCCCTCTGGGGATGTCAGGCAGAACAATTAAGCTACTGAATTTTTCTAGATTCTAGACTCACCCACCGCTTGTTTAATTTGGAAATTTGCTGTGGCCCAGGGCCTCCAAGGAGATTCATCAGGCTAGAATGAACACACACCCAGCCAGTGGTGTAGACAGGTTTATTTGGCTTTACAGAACAGTTCAAACTCCAGTGCTCCCTTTTCTCAGAGCTACTTCCCACCCAAGTCCCTGGGACAAGCATCCTGAGATAGGTAGGCTATACTTCCCCTTTCCCCAAACTTTCTGGTACAATTGCATCCTGAACTGGGCTAATACTTCTTGCCCACCCCACCCCCACCCCACAACCCTTGGAATGCCTTGTCTCATCCATTTCTTTCCATCTGCCTTCTGTGAGTACTTCCTGCTTCCCTGCTGTCTCAGAAACCTAGAACCAAACACTTGACTGGCCATGAGGGTAAAGGCCAGAAACTTAAGGTTTTGGTTCCCTGTGCTCACATTGGGTTGGGAGAAGGAGGTATAGGATGATACCTCTTTTCTCTTCCCCACCTCTCCTGCCATGACCCAAAACTCAGACACAGTCACACTCACATTCATACACACAATCATGTACACATAGCAGTGAAGAGGGGTGAGATGGGGAGCAAGGGAAATTTGCACTAACCAGCTCATGAATGCAACTTGAAAGATTTCACACGGCAAAAGGCAAAAAATAAAATTAAAAAATAATAATAAATTAAAAAATAACGAAGTACATGCCCCTTCCACAGTCTCTTTCTTCATCCAGTGCCCTGCTTAGCCCCTCCACTAAGCCCAGAAGTTTCCTACTCCTTCTATCCAACTGAAGCTTTTACAGGGCCTGGGTCTTCAGTTCAACAGGCTCTCCTGTGCCTTCTGGTTGTCCATTGGAGTCACTGGGCCCGGCACCCTTGAGAATAGACAGTCTTTCAGAAACACTCTTGAGTCGGGGGAAGAGGAGAAAGTCGTAGAGGAGACTGCCCAGGCCCCCTCCAATGATTGGGCCCACCCAGTACACCTGTAGGAAGAGGAAAGGAATCATCAGGCTTGTGGAGGGGACCAAGAGCAAGACAGGTCTTTTCCAAACTCCATTGGTAGAAAACAGACATCCTGCACTTGGCACATACAATTGGGCACTATTAAGCAGAAATCAGTGTTTGTTTACTTTAAAACTCTAGCTTGTTCCACTGCCTGTACCTCAAAATTCACTATTTCTTTTCTGACTCATCAAATTATTCCTTTATCCCACACCTTCTCAGGTATATTCTATTTGTTATCAGTTTGCACTAGTTTATACATTGCTTTAAAAAAAGTTTTTTTAATAATTGTGATAAAATACACATAACAAAATTTACCATCTTAACTATTTCTAAGTATGCAGTTCAATACTATTAGTATATGAGAATTCATGTTGTTGTACAACAAATTTCCAGGACTTTTTCATCTTGCAAAATTGAAACACTGTATCTATTAGACAACAACTCCCCATATACCCCTCTCCCAAGCCCCTGTCAACTACCATTTTGCTTTATTTCGATGAATTTGACTACTCTAGATATTGCATATAAGTGGAATTATACAGTATTTGTCTTTTTGTGACTGGCTTATTTCGGTAAGCATAATGTTCTCAAGGTTCACTCATGCTGTAGTGCGTCAGTATTTCCTTCTTTTTAAAGAACACTATTCCATCATATGTATATACTAAATTTTGTTTATTCATTCCTCTGTGAGGGACACTTGGGTTTCTTCCACCTTTTGGCTACTGTGAATAATGCGGCTGTGAAAGTGTGTATACAGCTCTGAAAATGTTTTTGAATTATTTTTGTGCTTGTCTGACATATGGCCAAACAACACAATAGGTTTTTATTGAGGATTTATTCCACACCCAATTCTGTGCTAAATATTTCACACATGTAACTTTCACACTTCTCATAACATCTCATTTTATAGTGAGGAAACTGAAGCTCAGCATGATTGAGTTCTTTGCCATGGTCACACACGATGCTAATAAAGTGCTAGAGCTGTGGGGTAAGACCCAGGCCCATTTGTGCTCATACATATCCTGACCTCTGAGACTAGAAGTTTTTGTCTTTCTGTTCAGCTGTCAGTCCTTACAGTGCTAGTTTTGGAATCCAATGGATATTTAATAAAATTTCCTGACTAACCAGCAAAGAAACAATAGGAGCTAGAGCTTCTCTTTATAGCAAAATAATTAATCCTGCTCACATCAGCAGGCCAAACTCTGTGACAGTCCACTTAGCTGAGTGCTGGTAGAGCAGTCAACACATCCAGATGGAAAGCAAGAGCCAAACCTGGAACCTGCAGTCCACACCCATCCAGGAGGGCTTCAGGATCTTGCCCCTCTCCTTTAACTCACCCAGTGGTTGGTGAAGTTTCTGGTGAGAATAGCAGGAGCAAAGGAGCGGGCAGGGTTCATGCCTGCACCGGTATAATACATCTGCAAAAGACACAGTTGTAACTGAGACATTCCACCCCAGCTTGTCTCTCCACCACCCGCATGTCCCTTAGGGCTGGCACCTTGCCTCCAGCCAGCAGCAAGTAGGGAAGGACACCGTATGGGGGTCCCTCAATGGAATGAAGGCAGTGATGCCCCATCTGGGGACAGACTATGGATTCATAGGCAAAGCCCATATCTACCCATAATGTACGCATTTCCACCTTGGGTTCAAGAAGGACTAGATACAGTGGTCACAAAAGAGAGGAATAAGCAGGGTTGATGCCTCGGAGCTGACTCATACAGAGGGAGGCGGGTACTGTTCATGTTTGACAGATGGGCGAGAAGAGCCCTTAAAAGTCAGGAAAGGTTTGGGAGCCCCAGAAACCTTAAATGAGAAGTTGTTGCTCTCTCCTTCTTACCCCAAAGAGGTGCCCCAGGGTGAGGGAGAAGCCAATGGCCAGGGCCACGGAGCCCAGGCGGCCATTCCGCCTCTCATCGTATGTGGCAAGGATGCAGAGCACAAACTGGAGTGTCAGGAAGATCTCCACCATGGTGGCCTGGCTCACACTCACTCCAGGGTGCAGCTGGGCAAAGGAAGAAGAAGGGAGGCAGCTCGTTAGGATACCTCAAGCCTTCCCAGGTAGGACCCCCCCCCACACACACAGCCAGCCTTTATAGCATCAATTCTGGAGAGGAAGAATAATACAACCCCTTTCACAGTAACTGCACTTGTTTCTTAATTTCTCCTAATAATACTCTTTCATGTTGGAAATAATTGCACCCACTTTTGTGGATGCGGAAACTGAGGCCCCATAAGGTAAAATAAGTCTCCTAAAACCTGCAAGGAGTTGGAAAGGAAGCTGGGACTGGAACTCAGTTTTCTTGATTCCCAATCCAGGGCTCTATGCCTTCTCTGTCGCTCCAAACCACCTGTTGACCCTTCCCACCCTGAAACACACACACACACACACACACACACACACACACACACACACACACACACTGTCCCAGACCCCTGGGGTACTGATCCACCTGTACCAGGCAGGGAGTCAGGGAACCAGGTCCCCTCAGCCCCACTCAGCCAATGATTACCGTGTTAAGTGCTAGGTTTCCTCGGACAGCAGGTGGGGTAACACTATACAGCACAGCAGCCCCAGCCACAGCTCCCAGGAGTTGGGCTGCTATATAGCAGAAGGCCCGGAACAGAGACATCTGGGAGCCCACAAGGAAGGCAAAAGTGACTGCAGGATTGACATGGGCTCCACTGATGTGGCCCACAGCCTGCACTAGCGTAGCCAGGGCCAGGCCAAAGGCCAGAGCCACCTGCAGAACATGCAGGGGTCCAGGAGCCCAACGCAGTGAGGCCCCCAGTCCGAAGAAGACATAGAAGAAGGTGGCAAAGAACTCAGCAAATATGGCCCTCCAGAAGGAGGCTGACCGCAGTTCCCACATGGCAGGGGGAATGAGCACAATGTCTGGGTCCCTGATGCCCCCCTGGCCCGGTCTGGGTACAGTCCCCTTTATAGAGGACTCTTAATCCATGGGAGGGGCAGGCTGAGGTGGCTGGCCCAGCCTCTTAACCCCTTCACAGCTGAGAGGGCTGGGCCCCCTCTCAAGCATCTGATAAAGCTGCGGATTTCCCCCTCCCTCCTCAACTGGGAGATGAGTAGAGCCATGGGTGTAAAGGTGGGGATAGTTTCAGGGCTGGAGAGGCTCTAAAATGAAGGGACCAGGAACAGGGAGCCGGAAAGAGTCTGCCTTTCTTTTCATGTCAAAGTTGGAGTTCATAGTCCTGATTGACATCTGTATAAGAACATTCCACAACACTGCTTGGAAGGTCAGTCAAACTGAGTTTACTTTATAGAGTATGCAAGTGTGCTACTGGGGGCCTTCAGGCTCTTCTGAGCCTGCAAGGGGTACAGGTGGGGGTGGGGTCAGGACTGGGGTCCAGCAGGGATGTTGGATAACTGAAGAGAATTCTTTAGTCCTCTGGGATTAGAGGGCCTTCTCCCATTGGCTGGTTTGGGCTGGAATCTGTGGACCCTGCAGCTCTGGGACAAGAATAGTTCTGCTGTGTTTGGCTTTCTCTGAGCCCGAGTTCCCTACCCGCAACCCATGCCAGTACCTCCCTTTCCAAGCTCTCAGCCTGGCCTTTTAATCCACAGAGACAGATAGGAGAAAGAAGCTGTCTTCTATGGATAGGCTGGGGTGGGGCTGGAGGGCTGGGGAGAGGAAAAGGGGTTAGTACGTAGTTAAATCTCTGGACCAGCTTGTACTTCATCTTCCCTAACTCACAAGGTCCTAGCAGGAAGTACTAAAAGAAAGCTATGAAGCAACGGGAGGGTCTAATGCCTCCTAATATGGCTGTGATCAGGACACTGGAGTCCTAAACCTTGATCCCTAGGGAAAGGTTGGGGTGGGGGTGTCTGGGGAAGCAGGCTGGTCAAGGAGAGAGAAAAGGACAAGATGGGGAAGGAAAGCAAGGTCAAAGAGGTTCAGCTGTGTTCAGGCTTGGTGAGAGACTTAGAACCTAGAGTGGGGGCTATGTGGTGATGGAGAAGGCCATCGCCATATCGTGGCAAGTCATAAAGGCTTTTCCTGTGAAGCACCAGATGAGAACAAAAATTTGAAGGATAGGCCTGCAATATTGGTGCCCAGCCTCAGTCCCATCCTGTACAGCTGCGGGGGAGAGAAAGAACACAGATCAGGGCCTGTGCTTCTCTCCTCTTCCCATGTCCAGTTTGACGATGGATAGGAAGAGTTACAACCAAGGTGGAGGGCCCATCTAACCCATCCACATGCAGGAAGAGTTGCTGAGAACAGGTCAGAGGGCACCCAAAGGGACTATAGCTTCTAATTGCATGAAAGTAGAGCAATCCATCAGAGGTCCTTGGAGTCTCCTGCATTTGAGAAGCCACACCAATCTTCTGACTTTAGGCACCATAACTCTTGCTGCACCTTATCCAGTGATGCTTACAGGTCCCAGTCACCACTGCTGGCCCAGGGAGTGCACAGGGTTCATACTGCTCCCAGAAAAGGACCCCTGGACAGGAAAGAGTGTACATCATGGTGTTAGGAGCAGAGACTTTGGCAATAGATACTTTGGTTCAGATGTGGATGGGGATACAAAGGGATAAAACTAGTTATTACTGACTGCTGGTGGGAATATAAATTGGAATAATTACTTTGGGACACAGTATAGCACCATCTTATAAAGATAAACACATACTTTCTGACCAAGGGATTTCACTTCTCACTTATATACCCATGAGAAACTTTTCTATACCTCCACCAGGAGACATGTACAGGAATGTTTTGAACAACGCTGTTAACAATAGTAAAAACTTGAAGCAACCCAAATGCCCATTGATGGAAGAATGGATGAATAAAAACAGTGGTATGTTTGCATAATGGAAAATTATTCAGCAGTCAAAATGAGTGAACCACCACAGTGACACTTAATAATGGGGATGAATCTTAGCAATAAAATATCAAGGGAAAAAAAGTCCCAGAAGACTATACACAGCATGGTAATCTTTTTATAAGGTTAAAAAAAAAAAATCTATGGGCTGGCCGAGTGGCGTGTTGGTTAAGAGCTGGCCTGAGACGACAGAGGCCCCAGTTCGGATCCCACGAGGGCCAGTGACACTGCCCTCTACAGCTAAGATGCTGAACAACAGCTAAACCTGGAGCTGGGCTGCTGTGAGTCGCCGGCAACAGCGTAGGCTGCAGCCCCTGCTGCAGTGGGTTGCCATGGGCTACCATGTGTAGCCAGCAGCCGTCGTGAGCGGCAGTGCAGAAGCCGGCACAACTCATCTGCCTCACCCGCGAAGAGCGCAATGATGGTGCCAACTTGGGCCAGTGAAGCAACGT